CCCCCCCCCCCCCCCCCCCCCCGTTGCATCGCGTCGCGACACTATACAAGAGCTCGTCTCGAGAGTTTCCGTCGAATTCCGTGAACTTTGGACCGCCGGAGATCGACCTCTAGCCTTCGTGCATCGCAGCACAGATTTTCGCGAGCTCCCGATCGGGTTGCTCGAACTCTTTAAAGATTCTCTGCAAAGACTCGTTCGCGAAACGAGTCCCCAGGCGAGAGGTCAACCTTTCAGCGCCGCAGGCTGTCGCGAAGGTTGGGACACTCTCTATCGGAACCGATCGAAGATCAAACTCTAGAGATTCGAAAAATTGTGGAGAGGAAGATTGTAACCGAGCGGATAGAACGCTCCGGAATGGAGAGACCCTACACGCACGAGTTCCACGAGATAAGCCACGCAGCTGTGGTCTGGGCTCGTGTGTCGACGCTACCCCGACACGAACCATATGTTCGACGCGCCTTGTTTTACGCCGACCGATCCCGTTCCGTGACAAAGGAAAAGAGAAAGTCGCCACACGGCCGAGAATTGTCGCGTTTCTTTCGTCGCGACCGCGTGCACCGGACTTTTCAGAGGAATTCTACTCGTCTGCTGCCACCGGGACGGCAAATATCGGACTCGACACCCTACTTTTTCCGCGCCGGCCCTCGCTCTAGTTTCATTCTACCCCCTCGTGTACCCCCCTATCCCCTCCCTCTTTCAAACTTAATTGGACCATTGATATCAAACCGACGCGACAATAAAATACACAAGCGGCAGAGATTTTTGACAGCCTCTTTTTACGTTCTCTTTTACTTTCTATGCTCCTGCATTCGTTCCGAAGTTATGATCGTTCGAAATCAACAATCGCATGTTCTATTTTGGCTGTTAGCTTTCCGTCATATGTCAGATAAATAATTGCGCTTTACAGGAGTATTTCGGGCACGCGCATGAACGTGTTATTAACATTTCAGCATCCATGAATGCGACGCCGTGAATACATCGATTCAGAAATCGCTCGCGTGGATATTTCAACACACCATATGCGGGAGAGCTATTAATACCCTTATGGAAAATTTAATTTTCATTCGATTCGTTATACGTTCGAAAGAATCCCTCTGCGAAATCATACAAATCCTCGTCATATGCTTGTTGCCAAAATTTTATTGTCAGTTCTGCAATTTTAAATGTTTTTCGAAAAGCGGATTTTATCAAAATTCACAGACGCTAGTGAAGCTCGATCTGCGACCCGCGCGAAATGTATCAAGCTCAAAAAATGATGTTCGCGTACGAAATCGAATTACATTGATTCTGCAGAGTTTCCCGTACTTCCAAGAACCGAGTGCTGTAGAGGGAGGATGCTTTTCGAGGACCGTTTCTAGAATTCGCGCGCCAGGAACGCTCCGATCGAGCCGATCGCAATAGTGATCGAGACTATCCATCCACTCGGTGGTCCAGCCAGCGCAGGAGAGCGAATAGCAATCGAGTGAAGAGTATGCTCGCGGCCGCAGGCCGGGGTTCAATTAATTTCGGCGCTTTGAGGGAGGCAAAAGTGGCCGCAGCGCTCGAATTTAGGACGCCGGTGCGCGGCGATGTTTTCTCGAAAAGCAGAAGAGCACTTGTCCCTCTGCGGGAGAGTGTTCTTTTCCTCTGCGCTTTAGAAATTCCGGAATTAACGACGCCACGACGAAAAACGGGGAAGAGGGAGAGGGAAAAAACGAGCCGCACCGGGAGAGCGACCACGATGGAAAGGGGAACGCACCTCTCTCTCTCTCTCACTCTCTTCTCCCAACATCCCCCACGATTCTCTCTCTCTCTCTCTCTCTCTCTCTCTCTCTCTCTCGTTCTCTCCTCTAGTTCCCATTCGACGGGTGTTCCGTTACCAAAGAACAGTGCCATACAACACGTGGTGTAACGCGCACGACACCGGCCGGGTGTGTATTTCGAGACGAGGTCTTCGCGAAGCACCGGCTGTAGGGAAGGGACGGTAACGATACACCCCCTCAGCTGTGCACGAATTTCACGTCGGAGGACCAACCATGAACCCCGGCGACTTCGCCCGCCATTTGTTTTCGCCACAGGTGAATTTTTAAATGGACACCGAAAACGAAAAGCGAAGGTTGACGATTCCGTGGAACGTTCGAACGGCGATATTTAACTCCGTTTACGAAACTGTCCATCATGTTTGCTCGACGAATTTTTAACCCTCATGCTGGCACAAGTTGGATCAAGATATGCATTTCGCATTGCACTGGCCTTCGTGATTGATTTAGATTGGAACAACTTTACGGAGAATAATACTTCGTCGTAGAAAAATACCGAGTCCGTTCATCGCTGGACAACAGATTTCATCGCTTTACGACAGGAATATATTAATTGATAAGAATATTAATTAATTATTAAAATTATTAGGAATAGAATGAAGTGTCCGTTTCACTCCTGCATTCTGCGACCTTGTAGATCAATCTCGTATTTAAAAATAGAAAGATCTGCAATCTATTTATCAGAGCAAAAAAGAAACAATCTATCGGTGTGATAATTGATAAAGTGGCATCAGGCACGTACCGCTTCGGACAATGCAATAGAAAACGATCGACAATGAGGTCATTCCCTCGCGATGCGAATCGCGGCTCGTTTCGAAGAACATATTGCATCCTCGAAATTACAATCCTATAAAACTGCCAATAGGTGAAATAGTCGGCGCATGACGAGCGCGCCGAAAGAAAATTTCAGGAATGCAGGTTGCAGTTGCGCTCCGATACTGCACGCGTCGAACGGACGGATTACGCGATTCCCGATCGAACGATACACCGTCCGCGAGCTATCGGCGCAATGCTCTGGAACTCGGAACGATTGGGAAAAAAACGCACGCGTTTTGCAAGGATCGTCGGCGAGCGTTCGGAGCGGGAACAGGTGCTCGCAGGTGCAGGTCTCGCGTCGAGCACCGTGGAAACGGAGAACAGGCCCTTGGGGAAGGGAACTGTAACGGGCACGTTGTATCCATGCTGGCGCCTCTCTGGGGCTCCACGCGAAATTTCGAAAGGCTCGGAAAAGTGCGAGCTTCCCTGCGCGGACGGACAAAGGCTTCGCTCGCCGCTGGAATAACCGATAACCCGTCAATTCGGGCGGTCGCGTCGGTTCGGAGCTTCTTCGAGGAAATGGATCTGTTAGCCGAGATCGCGTTATGCCAGTCACGCTTGTACCTCGAGGACCATTGTCCTGTCGACGGACTCGCCGAATATTACCGTTCCCGGCCGAGTATTATCATATTCAGGAAGTGCCGTCGCTGAATACAAAGTGAACGCTCGATATCGGGAGCCGGCCGCGAATTTTCGAGCCTCGGCTCGCCACTTCCGAGTCACGAGGGGCACGAAACCGAAATCTACCACCGGTCGTATTCTATGGGATCCTCCGAGCGACGCCTTCCGAATTTAATCGGCGGCCAGAGAGCACAATTTTCCCGAAGAAGCAGGGAGATCGCTTTAAAGTCTGAAACGACTCCGTTCGAGCGACCTCTGGACCTTTAAGAAGTTATGCCGTTTTAACCCTTTCGCTCCGAACGACGGATATATCCGTCATCCATATGAACACTCGCGGAGCCGAACGCCGGATATATCCGACATCCACATGATCGCCCTCTGGGGACGAACGCCGGATATATCCGACATGCTGGTTATATCGCGACCTAATTTTTGGACTGCACCGCCTCTTGTTACTATTGCGTGAATCTTTTGACGAAACAAACAAACGACAGTCCGAAATAAACGACACACCATTCAAGTTATATTTGTTCTACCTGCATTTCCCATTATTATTGTGTTACATGTCATAAAGGGATAGAAAATCGAAAGTACTAACTTTAGGACTAATTATTATGTATTATGTTTTGTATTATGAATATTATGTTTTATTTTATTACTGTATATTATATATTATTTCTTCACTTTTTTCCATTGTTAATGAAACTTTTTTTACCTATTAAATAACTTTATACCTTATGCAGAAATTATAACTATATTGTTTTAAAGAAAAATCCCTTTTCTTCCCAAATACACTATCCACGCGCAATGTGCACAATTTCGGCGGGTGGTTCCGTTCAGGAGGGGCGCTACGGCGGACTGAACCGCCGTAGCGAAAGGGTTAAGAAGTTATGCCGTTTTAAAGGGTGCCCACTTGTGTTTGCCACCCTCCTCCCGTTGCTCCACCGCAGAAAATAAACAACGCTAACGCGTCAACGAGACGACTTCTACATCG